TTAACCAAAGTAAGAAACATTGTGATATTTCAACATTTTATTTCAAATCTGTTTATTTGCTCAAATTACAACTCTACATGTAAACAGGTTAATGTAAAACTGTCTACCAGTTCATTCCCACTCTTTCTGATTAAACTGTTAAAGTGAACTCACCTTTAACGCAGCACCTGAACGCCTCTCTGCGCCCTGCACGTAAACCCAGCTGCAGAGTGTTCCCTACNNNCTTCCTAATCACTCCAGAGACTGGCCAGGACACACAGGCTTACTCACTCTTTATCATTATCTCTCTCTCTCTCTCTCTCTCTCTATCTATCTCTCCACACCCCTCTCTCTTATCCACTCTCTCTCACTCGCTCTCTTTCTCTCTCACTCTCTCTGTCTCTCTCAACTCTTGTATTGCCTTCCCGGTTGACAGGCGTCGTCATGGCAACACTACTTCAGCCCCTGTTCTAAAGCCACCATGTTTTCGGCCGGTCAGGTCAGGGCAGGGCAGCTCCTTCACTGATGCAGCTCTATTGTTGTGATAAGGTGATATTTCACAGCGTGGGGTTAACTTAAGGGGAACGTAAACAGTTCATCACCTCCACCGCCCTGACACTGACCAACGACTCCATGGCCCCCCTCTTCACTTTATCTCTCCCTTGCCTTCCCTCTTCTTCTCTTATGTGTGTGTATGTGTGTGTGTGTGTTTGTGTGTGTGTGTGTCCAAAGGCCAGGTCTTTGCTTCACTAAAGGGCTACAGAGGAGAACAGCAGCTCTGTCTGTTCTAGTGATTCTGGATGAGTTTCAGAACCATTACTCAACACAGTGCACTGTCATTAACTGACAACACAAGCTCCACTGACATTTCCTCCCATTATCCCAGAATTCAATGTTAAAGGAAAGATTCATAAACTGAGGCTTGTTTTGTTTTTAGCAGTACATTATACAAAGTGGGAGATTGATAAGTGTGCACTGGTAAGTCAGTCAAATTCTTTGGTGCCAGAGAGTTCAACAAAAACGAAAGGGAATGACACTCATTCTTAGCTCATGCAACACATGCACTTAACACAAGCAGGACTCCAGTTCCCCTGCATTTGTTGTCAATTAGGATAAATAGCAAAACTTGAATTGACACATTCACTGCAGCAGCATGTCTGTGGATACAATGGTCCACTGTGCAGGTAAGGGACGCAGGTAAGTGCAAACAGCTTTCTCACTCACATGTACTTTGACTTCAGGCCATAAAATCCAAAGAGGACATGGAATAACATGTAATAGAAGGGTCTAGACCAGGGCTGTCAAACTCAAAAAGTCATGGGCCAAATTTAATATTTATTGCTATTTCAATCTGGATCACTTATATCTATAGACCTACTCAGAACCTTCTTGCTTTCAGGGAACGGTGCAGACCACTGCTCTACGTTGCAACAAAAACTCGAATCAAAAGACTCCTTAAATATTATTGCTTCATTTTCATAATTCCAGGCATATTTAAACAAATAACACAAAGATTAAATATAATAATGAAATAATCATCTTAAAATTAGTTTTGCAAAAAATAATTCCAATCCCAGTTTGTTAAATAAATCCAACCAGGAACTGATAAGGTGTTGATATGGTTGTCCAAATAAACGTGGGTCAGTGCAGCATCCCAGTAAGAATGGTGAAGCAGGACTGTGTGGGCCCATGGATGTTCTAGTGAAACTGAAGCTCTCAGTTTACACAAATAATTAAGTAGTCTGGCTTGGATGGGCTGGATGGATATCCCTTTACTGAGCCTGCTGTCCTCACTCTGTTGTTTTTGCCAAACTGTTAATCCAACAGCTCCAGGCCTGAGCCACACTTTAGTAAAGAGAATCTCCTTAATCTGTGCCATTACAGTGAGGTTGGATCAGCAAGGTAGGAACAGCCAATGTTTACAAATTATATGATTAAAATTTCCATCCTCTGTCCTTTCAATGCTCATTGAAGACAATAAAAACAGTACCGGAAACGAATAATTCTCTACTCTTTTCCCCAAAACATTTGATGGCTTTGATATCTCTCCTCTTCTTACCTAAAAGTCTGAAGCCTGTTTAAAGAGCCTATAGTCCCATTAAACTGTTTTTATTTTTACACTATGACATATATTTACTGTGGCATTATTTCACAATATCTATTTGTACTTGGGTAGAGTGTGATCCATTTTCACAGCAATCTGGTATTAATCATAGAACAATAAGATTGCTGTGTACAAATTCTACTCCAGCACAACCCGAAGAATCTAACAGGGTTTGAGGTCAGGAGTCTGTGGTGACCAAACAATGTGTGAAAATACTGACTCATGCCTCCTGAACCACCCTGTCACATGAAGAAATGTGTCATCTCGAAATATGGCTGTAGCTGAAGGGAGAAAAATATCTAAAACTAGTGCACATTTTCTTTATGATATCTCTCCTGTTTAATATTTCAGAAATTTGATAGCCATTCATACGTCAAAACATGTTCAAAGAAAGGAAAATTACCAGAGTAACAACAACCATTAAACGCAGTCCAATCCAATCAAACATAATGACTAAGGCTGACACTTATTGTTGTGGAAAGTGCACAGGTGGAGACACAAGGGTGTGGTTGGTTGACACCTGGAAAGATGACTGTAAACAGAGTGACTGTAACTAATCAGCTTTATACAAGGTCAAGGTCAAGGTCAGCTTTATTGTCAATACCTTCACATGTACAGAACATACAGAGGTATCGAAATTACGTTCCTCGCCTTCCCGTGCGCTGACAGACATAGACAATACTGAATGAAAAACATTAAGGTGCAATAACAATAAGGTGCATGTATAGCTTTAAGGTGCGGTATGGTCTGTAAAAATATATACATGAAGTACGTAATAAATATAGTAATATAATTAGCAGCAGATGAGGTGAGGTGGTAATAGTGCAGATTAATAGTGCAGAGTAATAGGGTAAGGTTATGCAGATAGATTGTCTTTTTAAAGGATCTGTGACACTTTCTATTTGGGGGCTGCCAAAAATACAGCACTGTACCATGTGAGACCTTCACTGTCATAAACTTTAAAATACTACAGTACTTTAAAATACTAAGATAAAACATCAAATGTTAGCAGCAAATGGTCCACACTTGTGTAATTGTGTTGTAAATATGCCCATCAGCTGTTTCCTCAACCTGATGGTACTGGTATAGACTTAAATCTTAAAGTATGTTTTCCCTTTTTATATTTTTGTTATATTTCTATATTTTTCTATCAGATTGAAAGTTGTTGTCAACACCTGAGGACATAAAGGTTCATATTTACAAACCTAAAAGATAAGTATATGGCATTTGGAATTTCATGGTTCATTTGTCACCAACCACACAAAAGAAGAGCTGTAACAAAACATGTTTCATGGAGGAATATATTCTTATATCACATTACAGCAGCTCAAACACAGCCAATCTGGATGATTGGTAACCAGCAGCCGAAGGACACTTTATCATTCTCTTAAAAAACCAATGTTAGCAGAACAAGCTTCAGCACGTTGGGTTGCTACACGCATTACAATAAAAGTAGTTTTGAAAGATTGTATAAAAACAAAAAAACGCAGTAAGCGGGTCTCTGGCCCTAGCCTCAGTACAAGTCTGGTCTTGGTCTTGATACGGTCTCGCCCTGCTTTTGGTCCAGGACTTTGTTCAAGTTTGTCCCTATCTTGTTTGTGTTTCTTTGACTCCTACACTACAGTATCATCACCAAATCTGTTCAGTTTTGCACAGCAAGTAGACAAAACATGGAGGTATGATACTGTAGCACAGTTGTGCACTAATATACTGCAGTGTTAAGACCTGGATATGTACTAGCTTGTAACTACACAGCCCATTAAAAGATTTGACAGTAAATAAACAAACCATGACATAAACCTCTTACAAAATCAATGATTACATTACTGAACGGCTGCAGCCCTGGGCCTTTTCCCAGCTCCTCTTTATTCAACGTAATGAAGATAGAGCATGTTTTCACACATCACAGGATGAAGTCATCTCTAAACAGACAGAGATAGCAGAGCACAGATAGTGTGTAGGTCGTGGATAAAACGAACGGTGCCGGACAGGACATCATGTAGTGTTGTGTTAGTCATTCGTACCACAGGCTCTGAGGTAGGACTTATGAAATGTCCCTGAGACTTAACTCAAAAAGCATCAGGGTTTATTGTAACGGTAAACAACATTCTTTGAAGCTGTGCATGTCCCAAGGTTTACCCTGTTGTTCCAATGGGATAAATATCTCACAAATCCTCAAGGGGCCTGTTGCTGCTACTGCTGCATCCTCTTGCTGTGACCCAGAGGATGCCTCTCTGTATGACTGACTTAATAGTTGCAGATATATTCACCCACTTGTGAAAATCAAAAACAGCTCTGCTCAAATTGACACTATTATCCTATTTAGAAAAAGACCCCAGTCGACCCCTGAAATCATGCTGTGCTCCATTTCCATCCGGCCGCAGATAACAGAACATTTTTGTTGCCCTCAAATCTCTGTCAGTGAGATTCATCAGACTCCTGTCCTGTCATTATGCTGTGTTGTCCTTTTTTGGTCAATCAACTTGTGGTGCTTGTATGTGCAAGACTGTGAAAACAAATTTCCTCCGGGCAGAAGACAATCAAATATATATATTGACCATAAACATCTAAAAACCACATGATATAAACAACCACATACCATAAATTTTGGTTCCGACTGTGGAGATTTATTTCTCACATGAACCAGTGTCTGTCTCCTACAATTATTCAGCTGTTGCTCAACAAATGAAACAAAACAACCAAACCAACAAGGTTTTACAGCCCAGGCCTGTTTGTCTCAGTGGTTTCCAGTGACTTGTGCCCAGCTCTGGTGTTAAATGCAATATCTGTCAATTAAAAAATAGCACTAGGCACACCAGGAGAGGCTGCCAATGAGCCCTGAAGAATTACAATATACTTCTGTGGTAGTAGCACAAACTGTGCTCCAGTCCAAGTGTGAAGTTGCAAAAGTACTTACGAGACAGCTGCAGGCTGAGCAGTAAGGTCTCCTCAGTGCAGAAGGAGAGTGAAGGAAGAAGGAGGGAAATCGCTGCTGCTCCTCTTTACTCCTCTCTCTCTCTCTTTCTGTGTCTCTTTGTCAGGACAACACAGTGTCTTTTTATCTCTGCCCGTGATTCAGTCTGAATGTTTGACTGTGTGCATGGAGCGAGCTGTGTACGTCTGTACTGTATGTGTGTATGTGTGTGAGCTCGCACTGTGAAGCTCATTATAGGAAAGGCAGCTCAGTAATAGTTTCCATCCACAGCTGGAAATAATAGCGCGTCCTATGATACGGGTTCTGTGGCACCGCCCTCTAGTGTTCGACATGTCAATTCATACATATTCAGTAATGGCACTCAAAGTCTAACTGTAAGTCTTACATATTGTGTCACATTAATACCAAGCACAAAGGTCACAATGTGATTTCTTAATGACAACACTGATCTTTAGACTCCAGATGACATAATAATTCAGTGGAACAGCAAAAGCAATAAGAGTCAAATGATTACGTGGAAGTAAAAATATGTATATATAT